TATAATGATCTTTTACTCCCACTACCCCGGGTCACAAACTGTCATATATGAGTTTTTAAAAGCCCGACAAAACTTGAACAAGTTAAAACACTTAATGCTCGGCACATTAATGTATTTTTAAATTGCTACAAAATAAAACAAATGAAAAATAAGACTATTTTAATTTTATAAACTTACACTTATACTTATAAGGTTACAGTTTACAGATCTGAGATGGATCTCCGGTTTCCCGGGTATACACAAGAATACAATTTTGCTTGTACTTGTACTGCACATTTTTATATATAGTATAGCGTACTAAAAATTGATCGAGATCCCACTTAAGAAATCTTATTACTCAACTATCAACTACTACTGACTAACCTTTATTTTGTGAAGAAGAAAAAAACATATCTTTATAGCAACAAAAATAAATAATAATAATGCGATATACTCGTACATTCTTCAGGCAATTCGATATCCGGTTTCGTTTCTGTACCAAGGCCAGATATGATTAATTTGATATCTGCGCTAACTAATAATTATTAATAATTAAAAATATAAAATAAAATGTCACTTTCTTAAATCAGCATTAAAAATGTGCAGCTATTCTGATGACCAGAACATTTAAGGTAGAAATCCTGCAGACCAATTGCCTGAATTGCTGCAAACTCTTTCATCTTAAATATCACTTTATAATTATTACTACTATTACTATTGACTATTACTATTACTATTACTATTACTAATAGAATAGTAATAATTATTACTATTTATTACAAAATTACTACTATTACTATTATTTATAATTATAGTAAAGATTTTTTTAAGGCTGAAACTATTCGTACCCGGGTACCAGAAGTGAGAGGTTGGGATAAAAAAACTATTAAAAATTTTATTGTTGGGTTTGTAAGGCAAAATGAGGTGTTAAATGAAAGATAATTGAATTGACTATATCATTATAAATTATAATTATATGTTTGTAAGTTTGTAAACTTGCTTCTTCAGTTTAACTAAAATAAACTACCACAAATGGCATAAGAATAGCATGGGCTTGAGTCTAATGGTACCCGGGTGCGAATGACGGCGCTGCGTGTCTGGTTCCATTTTGACTCAGTGCTTTTCGGATATATTTTGATTTAAATTGTACTTGTAATTTGATTAATTTGAAGTACCATACCAAGTAGCTTTTAGCCAGGGGTCTCAAACTCAAATCATCCCGGGGCCGCAGAAGGTAGAGTCTGGTTGAGACTGGGCCGCATCAAGTATTACACATTAAAAATTCATTAAAGTTCAACTGTTGCAATCTGCTCAACTTTTATTAATACAGTAACAAATAAAACCAGTAAGGGTTTCTTCCTCCTACTCCTTGTTGCCAGAACCCTGGCAGCCCTTCTTCTTACAAAGCTGAGCAACATTTGACTTGAGGAGCAACTGAGACCCTCAGTTTAGCTTGAAATGAGACCCTCAGTAAGTTTGGACCTGAACTTTGACTTGTTAAAGTTAATAGTGGAAAAGAGCTTTTCACACAGATAGGTACTCCCACAAAAGGCACATGATCCGCTTGAACAGCCTGGAAATCTCAAGGAAGGTGGAGGACAATGCTCTCATAAATTGGCCATGCTTCTTGTTTTTTCATTCACCTTTCTGAACTTAGAATTGCACTGAAGATCAATCAGCTTCATGTAATGCGG